TTTTTCCTGCTGGATTTTCTATTATTTTTATTTTTCATTGTAGCATCTTTGTGTGGTTGTACTATTATAATTTTTAGGTTGGTATTTGGTTTGAATTAATTTTCTCTATATTGCCACTGACTTACCCCAGTGAAAATCATTACATAGTCCTTTTATTTTGAAAGATTTATTTATTTATTTCAAAGTCAGAGTTACACAAGGAGAGACTGAGAGAGAGAGACAGAGAGAGAGACAGAGAGAGAGACAGAGAAGTCTTCCTTCCGCTGGTTCACTTCCCAATTGACTGCAACAGCTGGAGCTGCACAGATCTGAAGCCAGGAGCCTCCTCCAGGTCTTCCCAAGAAGGTGCAGGGGCCCAAGGACTTGGGCCATCCTCCAGTGCTTTCCTAGGCCATAGCAGAGAGCTGAAAAGGAAGTAGAGTAGCCAGGACTCAAAGTGGCGTCCATATTGGATGCTGACACTGCAGGCGGGGGCTCTACCCACTATGCACAACACCAGCCCCCTGTTTCTTTTTTATTATATAGTGAGTTCCCACTAAAATAAGATTTTATTTACTATGTATATAACACAAGTTTTTAAGAAAGGTTAGCTCCTTGCTTTTCCCTTTTAGGATATTCTTAGTAAGTCTCATGGTTTGTTTTTGTTTGTTTGTTTATTTGTTTGTTTTTTTTTCAAATTCATTTCAGGAGTGTGCTTCTCCCTTTTATTTTCCAATTCATGTTATACCACATACAAGAGTGTTCAAGGAAGCTCCTATTATGAAATTTTGTTCTTCAATGTTTCTGATGCCTTAGGCAATCTTATTTTTTTAAAAAACTTATTTATTTATTCAAAAGTCAGAGTTACACAAAAAGAGAAGAGACAAGGAGAGAGAGAGGGAGAGGTTTTCCATCCAATGGTTCACTCCCCAATTAGCCGCAACAGCTGGAGCTGTGCCAATCTGAAGCCAGGAGCCAGGAGCTTCTCCTGGGTCTCCCACATGACTGCAGAGGCCCAAGGAATTAGGCCATTTTGTGCTGTTTTCCCAGGCCATAGCAGAGAGCTGGATCAGAAGTGGAGCAGCCAGGTCTCAAACCAGCGCCCATGTGGGACGCCGGCGCTTCAGGCCAGGGCATTAACCCACTGCACCACAGCGCCGGTCCCCTTAGACAGTCTTATTAACCAAATCATAATCTTTTGTACTTTATTTACCTCTTCCTTTTTTTTTTTTCAGAGAGCAGATATTCCTGTCTCTCAATAACAAATGTTCCTTCTCCCTGAAAGAAATGGTTAAAGTAGGATATCCTTCCACAGCCCAACTGGCACACCACCTCACACAGGAATAAAAGTTCTATTTAGGGGCTGGCGCTGTGGCACAGTGGGTTAATGCCCTGACCTGAAGCACTGGCATCCCATTATGGGCACCGGTTCTAGTCCCGGCTGCTCCTCTTCCAATCCAGCTCTCTGCTATGGCCTGGAATAGCAGTAGAAGATGGCCCAAATCCCTGGGCCCCTACATCCACATGGGAGACCTGGAGGAGGCTCTTGGCTCCTGGCTTCGGATTGGCACAGCTCCAGCCATTGCGGCCATCTGGGGAGTGAACCAATGGATGGAAGACCTTCCTCTCTGACTCTGCCTCTCTCTGTAACTCTGTCTTTCAAATAAATAAAACGAATCTTTAAAAAAAAAAAAAAAGGTTCCATTTGACTGTGGTATCATCAATACTTGTAGTGTTTAATTGAGAATCTTACCAGGAAAACAAATTTTTATTGTCTTTTGAATAAGTGTTTAAACTGTATACACTAAAGATTATAAAAAAATGAACAAAATCCAGAGGACTGAGAACAGCCAACATTTAACCATATGTGTTAAGGAGAAGGAAAGGGGAAGGGGTGGGATCATGGGGCTGCGATGGCCCTGGGAATAAGTAAGTTTCTCCCAGTCAAAACATGGGCACTTAGAACACAATTTCTTACAAGGTAGCAGGATGGAGAAAACCAGAATTCAAAGAATGCACATACCAAGGGTAAAGGCAATTCTATCCCTAATAGATTATCCTGACAAATACTAATCAACCTATGAAGGCTATAGTGGCTGCTGAAAGACCCTTTTATGGGGACATAAAACTGACACTGAGAAATAGCCATAATTAAGACTTGCTCTTCGATTTTTTATTCATTTGTTCAAGTAAAATATTAATTATACTAACTATTCAGATAACCTTCTTTCCCCCTTATTGTATCCCTGTCTTTAATATTCTTGTGCATTGATAAATTGATAAAATATTTGCTATAGACAAATGAACAGATCAAAACAAAAGGATTAGGACACCAAGGATGGGTATTCTCACATCCAAAACCCTTATAATGCACTGTTTTCAGTTAACAAGGAAAAAAAGATCTATCCTTTCTTTTTACATATTACTCTCTTGTGATCTTTTGGTTCTGAAAAGAATACAAAGAAGTAAAAAAATGACAGTATAATCATTAACCAAATCAAGTTTTCTGATATTTGAAAGAAAATTCTAAATTTCAGTATAAATTATTACACCTATGTGTCTCCAGTTTTGCCATCAAATTGTAATACTTCTGGATTTGTTAGCTGCTCTCCAGTTAGGTCTTGTGGAAGGAGACATAGATAACTTGCTGAGGGGAGTACATCGAGTTCAAACTCCCCAACCAACAACAATTGATGAAAATACACATGTTGAAGAAGATGGATACATTCAACAGAAGGAAATTGATTCAGAGGATGTCTGCTCTATTTGTCAAGAGGTATTTTTAGAGAAAAAGCTTCCTGTCACCTTTTGCAGGTAATGTATTTTCCCTTTGGATTCTAAAAATTTATGAAACATTATAATTTAACATGCTTGCTATTAATTACATTATGAGACATATTGATAAAGAAGGAAAAGGAAAGCTTTACTTACAGCCAATTTATGGTTAATCTGTGTTCTTTTGTTTCCTAACATGTTATAAGACGTTCTGTTCTTACTCTAAATATTTGTAGATGTATTTTAAACATAAAAATTTTAACTCCATAATTATTCCTCTGATAATTTTCAAGTTTTTGTTTTGTTCACATGAATAAGTGCTATGGTAAATATTTACTTTGAAATTATAAAATTAATTTTAATGTTTCAAAATTTTATCTCTAACCTAAGCAGTTTAAAATTTCAGTTATGCACAAATCTTTGTTGAGAATCTCATATTCATACTATTTTGCATGGCACTATAAATTTGGACTTAGAAAACTCAGGCAACCTCTTGCTATTAAAAGTTTTTTTCTTCTAATAATTTGCCAAATTTTTCATCCACGTTTTAGCTTTTCATGTGGCTATTTCTGTTGCACATTATAAAATTATTAGGCACTGCCTCAAATATTATTTTCAGCAGATAAATACACATATGTATTGGGTAACTTCTGGAAACATAAGATGGTACCCCTGCTCTCCAGTGAGGCATTTATTTAAAGAATAATAAGTAATTATTATAATTTTCCTTTGTGTTAATTAGGACTATTATCATTCTTACCTTACAAATGAAATCATTTTAATGATGTAAAATCTTTTACCATTTCATTGAAATGAAGAGAATTTATGTTTGAAATTCTGATATACTAGATTAAAGATGATAGATTGGATTGATAGATTGTGTATACAGTAGTGCATTTCTTTCTATTTTATGGGGAGTAAAGATGGTAGCACAAAAAACTTTATATTATATATATAAATATGAATATATAATACCATTTATAATGCATTCATATACAACTTATATACAAATGATAAACTTGAATTTTGTTTCTGATAGGTTTGGCTGTGGCAATAGTGTTCATATAAAATGCATGAAGATCTTAGCTAATTATCAGGACATGATATCAAATACTTCCATGTTGAAATGTCCTCTGTGCAGGAAAGGGTTTGCACCATTAAAACTTATTTTGGAGGAATTCAAAAACTCTAACAAATTTGTGACTGTATCTGAGAAAGAGCGACTAGATAAACACCTTGGGATCCCCTGTAACAATTGTAAACAATTTCCAATTGAGGGGAACTGTTACAAGTAAGTGTTATCAGTACAATGCTAAGAATGTATGCTTGTTTGGGGGTTTTCTAGGGTGTCTGTAAAGGGGGGGGTCTTCTGCTTTTGTTTTATAAAATAAAACAAATTCTTTTACTTTATATATTTTTTTTTAGTTTAGGAAATACTGAGGCCTGCAACACCAGGCCTTTAGCCTGGTTTCCTCCTCCGATCACATGTACCATGTTTGCATTATGTAACAGGTTATTTAGGATTTCTAGAGTGGTGATCTAACTCAGTCCAGTAACTCAAGAACCCCAATCATTTTACTGTCTTCACTTTCGCTAAAGAATTTGTCGCTCCCCCTCTTTGTGGAGGAACGACACAGGACCCTGTGCTGTTCTTTCATCTGCTCGGCCCTCCCCGGGTTTGCTGCTGGTTCTTCCCGGGTTGGCTACCGACCCTTCCACCTCCATGGAAGGGCGGTTCCCCCTAGCCACTTTTCCCCACTTCCGCAGGGGAGCGGCACACCACCGGCCGGCTCTCTCGGGGGCTGCACAGGTGTTCCTTCAGATAGATGTTCCTCTTAGATGTTCCTGGTGCATGTTGTATCTCTCCTCCTTTATAGTCCTCTTCCACAAATCCCAACTCTGCTACCCACATGCCGAGTACGCTGCTCTCCTCCAATCAGGAGTAGGTCCTACAGTTTATTGGTTGAACTGGAGGCAGCTGTGTAGAAGCTGTTTCTCCCTTCTCAGTGCCATATTGTGGGAGAGCAGATGCATAGAATAAGTCTTAATTCCAGTAACTTAGTCTAGTCCGAGTTGCTCCCCACAGATCCCCCTTTCTTTTTATTTTTTGGCGTTGATACGCACCTGTCTTTGGTGCCCCGCGGCACACACTCTGCTCTGCTTGCTAGAGTTGCCCACAGGTGCTTACAAGCCCTATCAATCAGGCAAACCGAATCCGGGTCCTCTCTTCGCCATGTTGTGAGGAGGTTTTTAGGCGCTGATGCGTGCCTGTATTCGGTGCCCTGCAGCTCATGCTGTACTCTGCTAGAACTGCTTGCAGGTGCTTACAAGCCCTATCAATCAGGCAAACCAAATCCAAGCCTTCTCATTGCCGTATTGTGGGGAGACTTATTGGTGTTGATAACGTGCCTGTCTTCAGTGACCTGCAGCCGCCCACAGGTGCTTATCGTCTTACTAATAAGGCAGACCGAATCCAAGCTCTCTCATTGCCATGTTGTGGGGAGGCCTTATTTTTCTCTATTTCTCTATCTCCGGGCATTCCTATTTCTCCCATTTTACTTCTATCTTCCAGCATTCCTATTTCTCTCATTTTACTTCTAAACTTCTGTTTCTCTTATCCCTGCGGCATCCCGGCGCCCGCCCCGAGGCTGCTTCTCGGCGCCTCGCCCCGCGGCGGGTTCCCAGCTCTGCGCCGCTTCAGCCCGCGCTTCTCTCATCTGCGCGGCTTCCCAGCGCCCGCCCTGCGGCGGGCTCCCGGCTCTGCGCGGCTCGGCTTCGCACGCTCCGCGGTCTCCATGCCCTTCGCGCCTGCACCACGGCCTTCGCGCCCGCACCACGGCCTTCGCGCCAGCCCCGCGTTCCCTATCTATTCACGCCCCGTGCTCTCTGCACGCAGCGGCTTCTGCGAATCACACAGTGTAGCTCACGTTTCTGCCACTGGCATTCAGTCCAAGTTCCCCGGACTAACCTGGCGAATTCCAACCTGGCGGCCCATGTCTCTGCCTCTGGTTCCAGATTTTCGCCTTTTGCTCCCCAGGCTGACTTGAAGAATTCCAAGCTGGCTTACGTCTCCACCTCAGCCTGCACTCGCGGCTTCATCTTCCCTAACATTTTTCTCTACCCACTATGTTTCCCTAAGTTTTCTTCCAACAATATTCCTCCCTCATTTCTCCTGGCCTCTCCCCACAGTCCGTATCCAAGTCTAAGTTTCTTATAGGTTTCACTTTCACTTTCAACCTGCAGTCCGTATCTGAGTCTAAGTTTCTTCTTGCTTTCACTTTAAATCCTAACTTCTTTCCCACAGTCCATATCCGAGTCTATGCCTAGGCTTTCGATAGCTTCTTCCGGCACCTTTTCTGTCCAGCTTTTCCCTAGGCTCTTTGCTAGTCTCTCTCTCCGGTATTTTCCACTTCTTCCCGTTTCTTCCCTCCTAAGTTTCCTATCCGAGTCACGGCACCATTATGTCGCTCCCCCTCTTCGTGGAGGAACGACACAGGACCCTGTGCTGTTCTTTCATCTGCTCGGCCCTCCCCGGGTTTGCTGCTGGTTCTTCCCAGGTTGGCTACCGACCCTTCCACCTCCGTGGAAGGGCGGTTCCCCCTAGCCACTTTTCCCCACTTCCGCAGGGCAGCGGCACACCACCGGCCAGCTCTCTCGGGGGCTGCACAGGTGTTCCTTCAGATAGATGTTCCTCTTAGATGTTCCTGGTGCATGTTGTATCTCTCCTCCTTTATAGTCCTCTTCCACAAATCCCAACTCTGCTACTCACACGCCGAGTACGCTGCTCTCCTCCAATCAGGAGTAGGTCCTACAGTTTATTGGTTGAACTGGAGGCAGCTGTGTAGAAGCTGTTTCTCCCTTCTCAGTGCCATATTGTGGGAGAGCAGATGCATAGAATAAGTCTTAATTCCAGTAACTTAGTCTAGTCCGAGTTGCTCCCCACAGAATTGGCTCTTTGTTCCAGTATATGTTGAGTTTGAGGTAGCTCTCCTTCCTAAAAGCTCTGGACACAGGCTTTTATTGCTTAAGTGTAGATGAGTTTCAAAGCTCAAAGCTCTATGGATTTCTTACCCCGTCACTTTCTTGGAACCACCAATGAGATCTTTGCCAAAAAGTTGCAGACTGAGCCAGAGGAAATTGACTAAATTAAATTATCGCATCCAATTTCCCCTATTACAAGTTTCAGTGAGTCCGTTTTGTTTCCTTATCTTGTACCTCTACATTAACAACAAAAACAAGATACCCATTAGAGCAATTTTCACTACTTTTGTGAGTAAACCCCCAAATTTCCCACAATAAAACAACAATTAATTGCTATACCTGTGAAAGTGTGTTTTCTTTTCTTCTTCTTTTTTTTTATTTTATTTATTAGAAAGTCAGAGTTATAGACAGAGGTAGAGACAGAGAGCTCTTCCATCTGCTGGTTCACTCTCTAGATGGCCGCAATGGCCAGAGCTGTGCTCAACCGAAGCCAGGAGCCAGGAGCCTCCTCTGGGTCTCCCACATAGGTGCAGGGGCCCAAGGACCTGGGCCATCCTCCACTGCCATCCCAGGCCACAGCAGAGAGTTGGATGGGAAGTGAAGCAGCCAAGACTAGATCTGGTGCCCATATGGGTTGCCAGTGCCTCAGGCCAGGGCTTTCACCCGCTGCACCACAGTGCCGGCCCCAAAAGTGTGTTTTCTTAATTAAAATTTTAAGTTAGTGCTAAATTAAAATGTAAGTATCTTATTTCCATCTTTGTTAAAATTTTCTCTTAAATGCTTCATTATACTTTCATTGTTCCTGGAATTATATTTTGATGAACCCAAGTTAAATTATATATGGATTTTTAAAATTCTGTCATAAAACCATGAAACTATTTTATCATCCCACAAAGCAAATGATACCTTATTTGAATTTTGTCCTCTGTTTCCTATATGTGTCACTATGAAGAAAATTAATTGTTAACAAAAAAAAAAAGTCTCTTGGAAAATGATTGGCCAGAAAAGGCTCTAAAGGAGCATCCCAACCTCAGGAAAAAATATAGAATGTTTATTTGCATTTCACAAGAAGTATTCAACTAATGGCAGGAATGTTAGATAAAGAAGGTTCTAACATGAAGAAGGACTTGATCTTAAGTATTAGCAGCCATTTGGAGGGCAATACAAATGTTCTCTAGAGAGTTCAATAGTAACAGGTAAGGGCTAAAGTCAGATGTGAAAGATTGGCCTTGTACACTTGTTGGAAGGAACAAGTGTAGCAGACAAGGGCATTCAAGGGCCAAAGTATAAAATTCTCACTCCTTACAATCATATATTATTTTTATTTAATTCAGTCTTTAAAATATTGAACCATTTTTCAATGAGTAATAATTTTATATATTTATGAGCTACAGTGCAACATTTCCCCCCATTTGTCATTAATTTATGATTGGAGACTTGGAGCTCTTCTTTATTTTCTCAGAAAATAAAGTATTGATTATTGTGAATTATAGTCACCCTAATCTTTCTGCTGCTTTCTATCCTTACAGATTATTCATCCTGTTACCCCTCTGAAAATACATTCTCCACTGTTTTTCCCAGTGCTTTACATTGTACTTTAATAATGTTGTCTCTTCTTATCTCTTCTCCTTATGGATACGGCTATTAATTATATTTACAAGTCAAAAAATCCATTTGCAACACTTTTGACTCTATCATCCTCTCATTCCCTCAGAAAATGACACTTCAAATATCAGCCTGAAAAACTATTTCCAATAATTAGGAATAGATTGAATAGGAGACAAGATAAACTAGACAATATCTCAGTACCTACTTCATTAGAGTTTCACAAATAGCTACTTCATCTTTTAAAAAAATCAATTCAAAAAATTTCAGATTTATGTTAAAATAGAATCAGAGATTCTTAATAATTTATAGTCTAACATATGTTGGTATGTTGAATAAATTGTACTATTTCTCTGACCAAACCATTGATCTTATTAAGAATCTTCCTTGTATGTATAAATAGCAATAATGAATTAAAAAGGGAGGGAACTATCCAACATGGGAAGTGGGATACACAGCAGACTCATAGAACGGCAGATGTCCTAAAAAGCACTCTGGCCTCAGAATCAGCCCTTAAGGCAGTCAGATCTGGCTGAAGAGCCCATGAGAGTATTTTAGGTGTGGAAAGCCAAGACACTCTGGCAAAAAAAAAAAAAAAAAAACTTAAATTAAAGATCTCTAAAGATCTCTGCCAGTGAGATCCCAGTGGAAAGAATGGGCCATCAAAGAAGTAGGTACCTTTCTCTGAAGGGAGGAGAGAACTTCCACTTTGACTATGACCTTGTCTAAATAAGATCAAAGTCAGAGAACTCAAGAGGCTTCCATAGCCTTGGAAATTCATGACTAGAGCCTAGGGAGATTTCTGATGCAACAGTGTCAAATTGTTAATTCAACAACAGGAGTCACTGTGTACTTACTCCTCATGTGGGATCTCTGTCCTTAATATGTTGCACAATGTGAATTAATGCTATAACTAGTACTCAAATAGTATTTTACACTTTATGTTCTCTGTGGGTGGAAACTGATGAAATCTTTACTTAATATATACTAAATTGATCTTCTGTATATAAAGATAATTGAAAATCTTGATGTGAATGGAATGGCAGAGGGAGCGGGAAATGGGAGGGTTGCAGGTGGGAGGGAAGTTACGGGGCGGGGAAAGCCATTTTAATCCATAAACTGGGGGCAGAGCCAAGATGGCGGAATAGTGAGGGTGCACACCGATAGTCCGGGAAAATTTAGTTTAATAAAAGTGGAGTTACGGTAGCCTCCGAAAAAGGATCAGGAAAAAATTGCAGAGGAAACTCTTCCGGATCTAGTGGCTGTGACTCGGAGGACCTACTGGGAGAGCAAGGTCACCCACCGCACGGAAGCTGAGCCGCGAGAGCCGCAGGGTCTGCGTGCCAGTGCAGGAAGGGGAGTGGATGTCACACAAACACCAGTGGGGAGAGCAGGGACGCCCAGGGCTCCGAGTCCACACATCGGCACTGGAAGGGGAGGTGAGTTCAGTAACCCAAGACATTGGCGGGGAAACGGCGGTCAGAATATAGAGGGGAGCGGGAAAGTTCACCATACTGACTACAGGAGAGAAGGAAAAAAGGTCGGGGGGTTCTGGTACAGACGAGTTTCTCTCTCCGCCAACCTTGCAAAGGCGAGCAAGACACAAAGAGCAGGCCCCACTCTGGATTTACATAACAACAGGGGAGAGCTAAGGAACTGAGTCGCTACAATTCAGTAGCCTAGGCAAACCAGTGGGAGTCCAGAGGAGAAACGGAGCCTGCACAGACTCTTTGGGTAGAAGCCAGAGATCGGAAGCGAAATACCATCAATTCTGCACAGCCGTGTGGTGCGGTATTACTTACCTCCTGAATAAAATAAAATAAAATAAAATAAAATAAAATAAAATAAAATAAATAAATAAAAAGAGAGAGATTTGCCACGCATAACCTGAGGGTGTCACCTTTGCACACCCGTAACCTGGAAAAACCAAGCAGAGCTCTCATGCCACACCCATCTCAAGTCTCCAAGGTTCCTCCAACAGCAGGCAGTCCACATAACACATAGTATAAAATAAAAAATAAATAAATAAATAAAAAAAATGCACAGTGATGAAAGAAGAATTAACTATGCCAAGCAATAAACACAGAAATCGAGGGAACAAGATCAACGATGACACTATGATGCCTCCAAATAAACAAAACACCCCAAGCCAAATGATGAAGATGATGAGATAGAAGAAATGCAAGATACGGATTTCAAAAAATTTATGATAAGAACATTTAGAAGTTTACAAAAGCAAATCCTTGAACTACAGAAATCCTTATTGGACAAGATAGAAAATCTCTCTCGTGAAAATGAAATTTTAAGGAAGAATCAAAATGAAATGCAGAAACTAGTAGAAAAGGAAAGTGTGATAGTGAAGAGAAATCAAAATGAAATGAAGAGCTCAATAGATCAAATGACAAACACATTAGAGAGCCTTAAAAACAGAATGGGTGAAGCAGAAGAGAGAATATCGGACTTAGAAGATAGAGAACAGGAAAGGATACAGTCAAACCAAAGAAAAGAAGAGGAAATTAGAAATCTAAAAAATATTGTTGGGAATCTACAGGATACTATTAAAAAAAAACCAACATTTGAGTTCTAGGAGTTCCTGAAGGCATGGAGAGGGAGAAAGGATTAGAAGGCATTTTTAGTGAGATACTAGCAGAGAACTTTCCAGGTTTGGAGAAGGACAAGGAAATCCTAGTACAGGAAGCTCATAGAACCCCTAGTAAACATGACCAAAAGAGATCGTTATCAACGACAAGTTGTAATCAAACTCACCACAGTGAAACATAAAGAAAAGATCCTAAAATGTGCAAGATTACGTCAGATTACTCTCAGAGGATCTCCAATCAGACTCACAGCAGACTTCTCATCAGAAACACCACAGGCTAGGAGGGAATGGCGAGACATAGCACAGGTGCTAAGAGAGAAAAATTGCCAACCCAGAATATTATATCCTGCTAAGCTCTCATTTGTGAATGAAGGTGAAATAAAGACCTTTCATAGCAAACAGAAATTGAAAGACTTTGCGGCCACTCGTCCGGCCCTGCAAAAGATACTTAAAGATGTGCTACACTCAGAAACACAGAAACACGGCCATCAATATGAAAGAAGGTAAAGGAAGAAAACCTACCAGTAAAAGAGCATGGGAAGCTCAAAGCATATACTAGAAAATATCTCCGGGAAAATGTCAGGGCAAAGTCACTACGTATCAATAGTCACATTAAACGTTAATGGACATAACTCTCCAGTTAAAAGACACTGATTGGCTGATTGGCTCAAGGAATAAAATCCAACTATTTGTTGCCTACAAGAAACACATCTCTCTAACAAAGATACATGCAGACTGAAAGTGAAAGGTTGGAAAAAGATATTCCATGCCAACAGAAACCAAAAAAAAAAGCAAGTGTAGCCATATTAATATCAGACAAAATAAACTTTAATACAAAAACTGTTAAGAGAGACAACGAGGGGCACTATATAATGATTAAGGGTTCAATTCAACAGGAAGATGTAACTATTATAAATGTATATGCACCTAATTACAGGGCACGGGTCTATTTAAAAGATATGTTAAGGGACTTAAAGGGAGATTTAGATTCCAATACAATAGTACTGGGGGACTTGACTACTCCACTCTCAGAAATAGACAGATCATCCGGACAGAAGATCAACAAGGAAACAGCAGATTTAATCGATACTATTGCCCAAATGGATCTAACAGATATCTACAGAACTTTCAATCCTACATCTACAGACTTTGCATTCTTCTCAGCAGCGCATGGAACCTTCACTATGATTGATCACATACTAGGCCAATAAGCAAGTCTCAGCAAATTTAAAAGAATTAGAATCACACCATGCAACTTCTCAGACCACAGCAGAATGAAGCAGGAAATGAGCAACTCAGGAAACCCCAGAAAGTATGCAAACACATGGAGACTGAACAACATGCTCCTGAATGAACACTGGGTCATTCAAGAAATCAAAAGAGAAATCAAAAACTTTCTGGAAGTAAATGAAGACAACAGCACAACATATCAAAACTTATGGGATACAGCAAAAGCAGTATTGAGAGGCAAGTTTATAGCAATAGGTGCCTACATCAAGAAATTGGAAAGGTACCAAATAAATGAGCTTTCAGTGCATCTCAAGGACCTAGAAAAACTGCAGCAAACCAAACCCAAATCTAGTAGGAGAAGAGAAATAATTAAAACCAGAGAAGAAATTAACAGGATTGAATCCAAAAAAAATTACAAAAAATCAGCCAAGCGAGGAGCTGGTTTTTTGAAAAAATAAACAAAATTGACACCCCATTGGCCCAACTAACTAAAAAAGAAGAGAAAAGACCCAAATCAATAAAATCAGAGATGAAAAAGGAAACGTAACAACAGACACCACAGAAATAAAAAGAATCATCAGAAATTACTACAAGGACCTGTATGCCAGCAAACAGGAAAATCTATCAGAAATGGATAGATTCCTGGACACATGCAATCTACCTAAATTGAACCATGAAGACATAGAAAACCTAAACAGACCCATAACGGAAACAGAAATTGAAACAGTCATAAAGGCCCTCCCAACAAAGAAAAGCCCAGGACCAGATGGATTCACCGCTGAATTCTACCAGACATTTAAAGAAGAACTAATCCCATTTCTTCTCAAACTATTCAGAACAATCGAAAAAGAGGGAATCCTCCCAAATTCTTTCTATGAAGCCAGCATCACATTAATCCCAAAGGCAGAGAAAGATGCAGCACTGAAAGAAAATTATAGACCAATATCCCTGATGAACATAGACGCAAAAATCCTCAATAAAATTCTCACCAATAGAATACAACAACACATCATGAAAATCATCCACCCAGACCAAGTGGGATTCATCCCTGGTATGCAGGGATGGTTCAACATTTGCAAATCAATCAAT